AATGACGGAACATCTGGTTGGTCGGCATGAGACTGTGGCCACGAGCAAGGGCTGCAAGGTGATTTGTTACAGAGAGAGCACCTGAAATAAAAGTCAGACAGATTAAGATCATGAAGGGATGTAGTGTAACACAAACCTATTCTGAGAGAGTCAGCAAATCAATTTTGACATACCGCTCATCTGGGTCATGATAAATGGTGAGGAAGAAGTTCATCAATGGAGGCCGAATGACAGTCTACAGGGTGCTGAATGTGTGAGGTTAGGAAGTGGCTGGTTCATTCATGGAGCCACAAGATCAGTGGGCAGCAGAGATATGGCTTTATGTGTCATTGGGAGAGAAGTGAGAGATTTTACTGATTTACAACATTTTTTAAAACAGATTTCTTTTCAGCATAGATAGGAAGGTGGACAAATACTTCTGTGTTTCTGAGGCAGGAATACAGAAGTAACAATGATGTCACAAGTCATTTGTCATTGTCTTCTTCGCCATTCCTCATATCCCACTGGTCCACTATAGAATTTCTTTACTTCTTGCAACTTTTCCTCCCTCTACTTTTTTTCAAACCAGAGTATGACCTAGTTATGTTTTGAATCAGAATCCACATGTACTGTACGGCAGAAAGGCCCATTGACAAACCACCGTTGTTGGGCACAGCATGCTGGAAACTGAGCTGTGTTGCTTTGGAGAGTACTGTCTACAAAGAAGATGGATAGTCTGATGGATGGATGTTGGTGCACGGCAGGAAGTGTGTTTTCCCTCAGTTGCCATTGTGTAAGTGGGCCAGGAGGGGCAAAAACAGCTCCGGTCCCCTTGAGGAGTCCTTCCACAAGGTCATTTCCTTGCCCTGGGCCTTTATGTGTGAAACTCGGTGTCTGTGCCTTTGTATTACTCACGTTATGGGGACTCAGCCATCCTTGTGGGGACCATAGGAAATCACTGAATTTTAGGGTGGCAACATAAGGTTGGGTGTTAGGTTAAGTGTTGGGGTCAGGGTTAGGTGTTAGGCAAGTAGTGGTTATGGTTAAGGTTAGGATAAGTCTACAGGAAATGAATGTAAGTCGGTCTAAAGTCCCCACAAGGAATGAAAACACAGCATGGCGTGTGTGTGTGTGTGTGTCCATCCCCTTTACTTTCTCACTGTCTCCCTCTTTTTCCCCCTCTGTAGCTTAATGGCTTACCCAGGTCTCTCTCTGTGGGTGTCTGCAGTAAGAGTAGAGTTTGTATGCTAACGAACCCCCAAGCTAATTACAATTTCAGCCAAGCCAGTTACTCCCTTCATTTCCTTGCCATTTCCCTCTCTCTGAGCAAATACAATTTCACCTCTCAACCATGCAGAATTAATCCAGTTAATGTTCAACGCAGGATGAATAATGGCCACTTATCTGCTGGGAACATGGGTAGAGAGTGGCTCCAGGGTGGAGGGTCCACAGTGAGCCCCTAGTCTTGTGTCTCACTAAATCTGCTCTGTGATCAGTGGCTGGGCCAAATTACAAATGCTAGTCACATTAGAAGAGAGGTCATTTTGTTTATAACCTGACAGTTCTAGTATAAGAAAACCAAGGAACCTTTATACACATTTTCTGATGTGTTTACATGCATCATTACACCCTTAACATAGCACAAGGAGTTATCTAACAGTAGATCAGAAATTTCCCCACTGTGGGATCAATAAAGTACCTACTCTAAGCAAACAGTAATAAAGGTACTTCAACATCATCTACAATGTGCCATTCACAAAATTTAACACCCCTGTCATTTCATTGGTCTTTGTCCTAAAGTTCAAAATCCAGAATCCAGCAATTAAAAGTTAACATCATTCTGCTCCAGGTTTGCTATGAAGAAAGCCTCTGTAGCTACCTCTACTGCAAATCGTCTGTCCATGGCACTCGCTGCTTTGTATCACACTGAGTGAATAAAAGGAAGTGACTGCACAAAAGTAGGCTCCTATTCAGGAATAAGATAAATTGAAATACAAGCTACTTGATGTAACTGTTATTCTGTAAGTACATGTGTAGTCCACCAAAAGCAAATAAATAAATAAATGAAATATTGTAATGAGTTACTTTGTGGAATACAATTAAAACACTGTATGGCATTATCATTTGCAATAAACATCTAGTGTTTGGGTTGGTGCTGTCAATGCTGAAACCTAAGACTGAACTATCAAAGCCTGCTACAGCTGGCTGACCCCTTGCTGGAAGCTTTAGAAATTCCAGCAAGTAATACTGGAATCCTAATACTATCTGGTGCTTTTTTTAATTCTTCTTAACAAGCTGCTTCATGGCTCTGGTCACCTAATAGTTACCCATCTGTGCATCTTTTACTTCTCTGATGAATTTTCCAAGCTATCTTCAGTTAGTTGCAGAAGAATGACATGATGTGATGAAATCACTCTACCCTCAAAATTATGGCCGCCTCAGTTCTAGACCAGTTAAGGGGCTGCAATGCATTTAAGTAGCCAGTTGGTAGATCAGATTTTGGGCAGTGTAAATACTAAAAGTCATTTGAATGTTGCTTTTAAAAAGCCCTTCTGCAGCAGGGAAAAAAATCGGTGTGGGAGAGGAAGTTAGTTCTCTCCCTCCCTCGCAACATGTCTTGGCTATCAGCTGTTGGGGTGAGTCCCAGCTGCCTCATGTGTTGACTCTAGCATGATAGCCATCAGCATTTGCCACATGAAAGGAGAGTGGTGTTCCTAAAAAAGCAGATGAGAAATGAAGATGGGGAGTCTATGTTGGGACATTGGCCACGTTTCAGTTTGAGATAAAGGCAATGATTTATCGGGAGTGTTTTTCTGGGCATATCAGACAGTATACAATGTAGTTCCTTCCCTAGTAAGACATGAAAAATGTTCTTGTAGGATAAGATCCTTTGAAACAGTAAAACTTTGTTGCATATTTAGGCTCCGGCCCCATGGGAACATATGTATTTACAATATTGCTCATCCTGTGCTTTGATAGAGACAAAAGTCTCGAAATGCGTATGCACTCTTGGGAAGGGAGTAAACCTGTTTGTCTCATTGTCTAAAATTACCAAGCAGTGGATCTCTATAATCTGTCCAGGCAATACTATCTGTGGTATGCCTCCCAGCCTGGCCTGTATGTTTTTATTCAGTCCTCTAATGACATTTAAATCAGCTTACTGTAGGTCAAGGTACAGTTCACAGGGGAAAAGGGAATGACTTACTGGGGAAAATGAGTGGCCCCAAACCAGTTAACCCATTCTGTGGTTGATGCAAGCACAAGACACTGTCACTTACAGTAGGGCTCCTTGTAAAAATCTTGTGGATAGACCCTAAGTGCAGCCAGAGCTGTAAGTGATATTCTTGTGTTTGTAAAGGGGCCACAGTCATATGTTATTACTATATATGAAACCTACTTGTGAGGGGACTCCAGGGCAAAAGATGGCTTTTGCTAAAAAGAAGAGCAGAGCTTTAGTTTGACTCCAGGGAAGCCAGGGGTACAGTTCTGCAAAGGAGAAACGAGACTGCAGCGTTGTCCTGAAAAATCGTTGAGGTCATTCAGAGCTGCTGGCTGTTTTTAGTTGCAGCAGCAAAGAAAAAAAAATCTTCCTTGTGCAGCTTTGGAGATGTTAATTTCAAAGCAGTCGCTTTTATTTTCCTTTCCTTTCCAAACTTGTGTTTAGCCAACAGGCGGCAACAGGGCACTTTGGGAGAAATACACACAAATCTTGATTTAATTACTCTCTAACCCACTTCCATGCTGTCCATCCTCATAGATGTCTCTTGAAATCTTCCACCAATCTGTTAAGCTTTGATTGCCAGAAAACTTTTGGCAATTGGGTTTTTTTTTTCTTTTTCTTGACACATTGTGCGTTACACAAATAAGCAAATAAGGAGCAGCAGTGGGAGGAGATTCACCACTCCTACCACTCAGTGTAGGAGCAAGAGGAGAGGAACAGCATAACAGAACCACAGCCCAAGCAAGTGTTTGACAGATTTCAAACAGCACGGTTTTGTTCACAGACGGTCTCCTCACCATTTCTCCAGGCAGGTCAGGGCCCTGCAGCTCCCCCTTCGCTGTCCTCTTGCCCCTGGCCAGTTGATTCAGGGAAGTGGTTTAATTCCCATGCAAATCCTGCCAGAATACCAGCCATTCACGCTGCTAATTACACCAGTGTTGGGATGCTGACTTGCTGACATCACACTGGGATAGCAACATTAAGGGAGGAGGCAGAAGTGTGTGGGTGTATGTGTGTCTGCACAGCCTACATGAAGCCAAAAATGCCAAGCAACAATGAGACAGGAAGTCGGTGACTTAGCCTTCAAACAAAAACTTTTAACTATAACAAGACAACAAAATGGTTTCGTTTGCTCACACAAAATCACTATTACACTTCTTTAACATTCAGCAATTGTCCCCTTATTGTAGCCAGTTTTAATCATGGAACTAAACAAACTATGACATTAGATAGTTGGCATGTCAGAAAGGACCTACTTTTTTATATTCACATACAGTTTGTATGTTGATATGGATAGTCTAAAAACAAGCACTTTGACAAGAAGTCGTCCTCCAAGTTATGAGCTGTGGATTTAAGAGTCAAAGTTTAATATTTAAGTTTAATATATCTGGATATAGTAGTTCAATAAATAATAATAATGATGATGATATAATTTTTTAAAGCTTTTCCAGACCCCCTTTCAACCACATCTCATAGTCTTCCTCAGTATGTTGAGTGTGCTTAGTTGTCACTGAGCTATGTTCCTTTCAAACACCCTGTAATTCAGTTACGGATTGTTATCTAATGCCTTATTTGGTTAAAATAAAGAAATAATATTTATATGTGACTCAACCTACAAAATATACATTAATTTATAATTGTATGGGGTAGAAAATATTATGAGCAAATGTACATTATAGTCCAAAATAAAATGTCCCAAACATTAGTCAGTTGTGCTTTTATTTTGAAAGTGAAAACTGGAGAGGCCATGTAATTTGTAGGCACTTGACAGTCGTCAAGTATTAAAGCGCTGCTATTCGGTGGGTCGGTCAGTCAGTTTGCGGAGCGGCTTCCGTGAACCGTGCTTTGACGTACACAAAGTCCGCACAGCTCTTCACTCAGGGGGCAGTGTTTAACGTTTCGGCCAAAGGAGATTTATTCATTCGTTCGTTGGAAATGAAAACATTTCCTCTGAATTTGTGCTCTCGTTTGGATCTGTGACTTACTCCACAGGCTGACCTGTTTTTACGCACTTGTTGGCTCTTCGCTCACGCTTTCTGCTGCTCGTTTGCAGGACTCCTGAGTGTGTTTGCGGAGAGCAGGGGGTTGACAAAAGGCTTTCAAACGCAGGAGATAAATGTAACATAGAGGTGTAGAAACACAGCGAGTGAGAGTGGGGTGTTTCCTTCGCAAATCTGTGGAGTAGTGTGACAAATTCTGCCATGAGGAAGACTTCTTTTAAAACCTGCACCACCACAACCAGCACCGAGGTCTGGGGTATGGCTTCCTCCAGCCGCAGTTTGTAAGAAGGTAAGAAGCAGTTTATTGGTTGTGTTTGTGTTGTTACTGGAACTGTTCTGCCACCACTTTGGGGGGTTTAAAGTCATAATGGTACAGAGATTTGAGCCACGAATGTATCTGAAATGAAGTTCGTTTCTGACTTACTTTTCACTCTATACTTTCTATTTTAAATGTGTGCGTAAATATTCAAACCCTTCCCCCAAGTCAGTCAGTGGACTATTTTTCGCATTATTCATGTATACTTAAATCGAAAGTTTACTTATTCAAGGCTAGGTGGTGGTGTGATAGAAAATAAACTAAAATGCACTGTAGACCCGCACTGTAGCTGTCTAAGGACGTGTTCTCACTGCTTTGTATTCCCCCCCCCCATTCCACCCCCTGTAGCGCAGTGGTCTGGTTACTGTGCGCTTTCCAGTCGCAAAGTCGTTGTGGAGTGCCTGTGCCATATGGACTGTTATTGAGCAGATAAACAAGTGGGCCTCAGTAAAATATTTAGATGTTTATTTCTGTACAGATCGGCTAGTTTCAAGATGTTTTTCCAGTCAGGTGTTATGTTGTCATTATGTCAGTCACCCTAGTTAGTTATTACTACAAGAAGTTGATGGAAATTGCTTTGTAAACATTACATAACCACATCTTCGTGGCAGTTATTATAAGGAGGACATTACAAAACTCAGTACAGGCTAACTGACCCGTTAAATTTGCTATTCTATAAGAGTGTAAAGGGTCGCTGGATTAGCACATGAATGGTGGGGGGTTAATGAATATGGTGACTTCAGCAGCTGGCTTCAGCAGCTGGCTGCAGTGTCACTGAGCTCCTCTGGTCTGAAAACAGCCCAAACACTAACCAAACTGACAGGAGCCTAAACACCAGGCCAACATTATTTCTGTCACCCTCGGCTTGCCTCTGCAGTTTGAAGGAAAAGTCAACATAATATTCCAGTACAGTTCCTAGAAGGACTGGTGGATTTCCTGGTATAACAATTACAGACCAATAGCAGTCCAAAACATTTAATATATGGTGTTGGCTAACAGATTTGTGATGCTCTGGCACTGGGTTACCAGTGTCTAAACATGGTCTGAAGTCTGTCCCTGTCAGGACTCCCCCGGTTCCCATCCAAAATAGTGTCAGTTTTTTGAACAAGTAAGCACTTGGCAAATGCATAATGTGATCCAGTCTAAAGTATAGTATAGTGTGGCTGTAGTTGAACAGCGTCACAGTTCTGATCTTACATAAATCTCTCTCTCTCTCTCTCCTTTTTGCTCACTTCTTTCCACTTCCCACACAAATCCCGTGCCTTTCAGTTTTTAAAGCGTTTCTGTACTCATTAGTCTATGTGTCATGAGTATTAGTTGTGTGTGTTACCTACAAAATCTGCAATCACCAGTTACTCATGTCGGCTATAGCTACTGTCCCACTGCATTTTCCAGCTGACACTGAAAATATAGCATATTTTAATACAACTCTTAGAGTACTCGGTGATTTTGGCATTGAAACTTTTCTTCATTACTCTTAAAAAAATCGGAGACATGATTTCCTGTCCACTTTCTATAGCCATTTACTCTGCTGGCCAACAAAAATCATTTCAACCAAGATAAAACAGTAGTTATCATTTGATAGCTACAACTTCTATGAATCTTAAGTGCACTATTAAATGGGCAGCGAAGCAATGTTTATATTTCACATCCATAAAGATGTGAGAAAAACAGATCAGGAAAAAGAACTAGACACTCAGAGAGTGCAAACCTCTGCCCTGGCAATTCAGTGTCACCTTTATGCTGCTACATCTAAGGGCAAAATTCCCATGGTAGTTTGATCATGAAAACCTACCCCTGGCATTGGGAATCACATTGACATTATTATTATTATTATTATTATTATTAGTCTGACAGTTATTTAAGAACAGTGATGTTTCATTAATGGCAGTTTTCTTTCGGATGTAACTCAGTAACTTTTGAAGATGCGTAGTAGCTCTTATGGGGATGTTATCGTGAAAGTTTTGTCCAAACATTGCAGGCATTGTGTGTGGAGTTAGAAGCAAAAATAGGGAAATTGGCTCTATCTCACAACAGTGAAGGTTCCTTTAAAAACAATCTTAGATACAGACGAGGATCTGGATGAGCACCAGTCTCTAATGGATTGTTCCATGGGCCAAACCCTACCTCCCCAAAGAATTTCATCCAGATCCATTCATTACATTTTGAGTTAGACTGTGAACAGTCAAAACAAAAAAAACAAACAAATGCCGGCAAAAATATTACTGATCAGCATCGAAGCCGCAGAGACTGAGATATCCTGAGTTTTATTCTCTAGTGTGGATAAGACTCCAAAAACACTGGATCCTACATTTCCCATAATGCAAATCAGTAGCTATCTATCATTAGACATTTTATTGACATAATAGGAGTTGTTGTTTTTTTCAAACTTAGTGGAAGGCGTTGAACTGTTTTCACAAGCTGACTAGTAGGCCTGGTGAATGTCATGTGTGAAATTGGTCAAGTGCCCTTGTAAAAACTTGTGGGATTATTTTTGAAGGCTAGGAAAATAGTTTTTATATTTTGGTTGAAATGCAGACCTGTGCAACATACATGTTACTGTGCTTTACAGTAGAAGACCAGTTACCTGGTAGAGCCTGGAGGAACAGAAGCTAGTTGAAAATAGGTCAGGACTTTTGCCCTCAATAATTTGTTATAACAGGTGGATACAGGCCTAATCTCTGTCCTGGGGAACACATTGCATCTGGTTCTTACTAATTGGCTGCTAATGGAAAACGTCTTTGTCGAGCCTGAGTTTTGTCAGGCGCACCTCCAGTCATGTTTTATTATGATTTGCACCTAGCAGGTCTGAAGTCAACATCTCTCTTGTCTTGTCATCCAACCTCATTTGTGCAGACCTGCTATTTAAAGATGGGATTTTGATCTGAACATCTTGAGTGATGGCATGGAAACGCTGCAGCGGTTTTGGAAGCTGCTCAAGAATGAGAGTGGAAGAAGATTTGGGCTTCAAACCCTGAAAGGCGATACTATTACAGCTGGCTTTTAGATACAGTTGAATCAGATGATTTTCTAGATCTTGGACTGAATTTTCAAACTAACTGAGCCTCCTAACCTACAGTTAGGGTTGGTACCCTAACCCTGTTCTTTTGCCTTGCAAATACATTTGAGTCCATTTTTATTAACATTTGCTTTGCAATACAGAGTAAAACTTGCTGAAAGTTTTAGATTGCTTATTTGGCTGAATTTGAAGCTGTGCTTGTTGGAGATCCTGCAGCAATGATCCTAGTTATGTATTAAAACCACCTGTTCCCTGGGTTACAGGGCTCGTCTAGAAGACTAGGACGATGATAATTAACCTGAAACAGTGAATCATTCTCCACTGACATCATGGTTATAGAGATTACTACCTAACAAGATACCCCCCAAGTCTTAAACAAACCTTACACCCAAACGGACTCGTGGAACATCAGCATTTACAACTCCCAGGGGAAGAAAGGTCAGTCATGTTAGACTAACGAACCAGCCTTTTATCTTTGTTCTCTCTACCACATTGTCATTTATGAAGCAACTTGACTTGTAGTACTAGAGTCCCCAAATCTCTCCTAATTGAAATCTCGTAGAAAGGAAACATGGGGATTAGGTTTCAGTGGAAGGGAAATCCCACGCATGTGCATGAAGTGTGTTGTAAATCATGAGCATAGAAGGGAAGCGAAAGTCTTGACGGTGTCTCTGCCAGCGCTGATGTGGGGAGATCAGGATGTTTTTGCAAAGTGAATCCCTGAGGGAAGGTCATCATCACCAATCTGGTCTGAGAGTGTGGGTCAGAGGTCATAAGCTTCTCTGTCTCCACGTTGAACTCAGCAGAGACTGTAACAGGTGATGGAATGCTTTCAACCAGGTCCACTCTGTTCCTTTTGGCTATTTGTATACTCTTATCTTCAAGAATCTCTCCTCAGCCTGAGGCAGAAATAACTGCTGACCAGCTGACTGCATGTCAGGAGAACTGGAGAGGTGTCCATACGTGTTTTTCAATTCACGTTTGTTACCTAGTTTCATCATCGTCCTCAAGTGCATGTTCTTACAGATGTGTGCACTTTTGTATGTGTCATCCAGCTAATCAGCTTTAAATTTGTAATAATGGCGAAGGTGCCAGGCTGTAATGAGGCAAGCTGTGTCACCTCAGGCTATAGCATGATGCTATAGCCTGAGGCTCGCTGTGTCGCCTCAGGCTATAGCATCATGCTGCTGGAACAGGGGTTTGCCAACTGTCAGTGCAGCTTGACAGCAACTTCACCGCCCTATTTATCATGCCCATCAGTATTCATGGCAATGATATCTGGCCGCTTCGTATGTTTTGTTAATATTTATGTAGTCAGTTTGTGGTGTGCCCTTCCACAATGACAGCAGAAGAGGCAGAAGCACGTCTTTCTGCTCAGGGCAGTGTTGAAAGCTGGAGCTGACAGTAGTCGGCTGTTATTCTCCTGACAAATGGCAAGGAATCTTAAGTGGTAATGGAGATTTATTTCAAACTTAAACCTATGTATTTGTGCTTTTCTTTTTATAGATTACATGTCATATAGCCAGTTGTGGCATGGCATGGCTGTTTTAAAATGGTTTCCAATTATTTTCAGTGTCCGTTCTATCATCTAAATCCATCAGGGCTAAGACGAATAGACTGATGTGCTTTGTTAACAGAGACTCAACCCTCAAACAAGAAGTGCTTCTTTGTACAAGAGACAAGGTGAGCCTTGGCCAGCTCTCTACACCGATTCTCAGCCAGCCAAGATGTCCATCTGTGAAGCAGTGTCCTGAGTGTCTTTGAGCTCGTCCGTTGGGCTGTCTGTCAGACAGGCTGGTGTCTGTCTGGGAAAGTAATGGGATTGTCTCCGTGCTACCTGAGGGGCAGAAGGGGTTAATGGATTGCAACCCTCTGGCCACCCAGAGCTTTCTCATAATACAGGGACATGGAAATCTGATTATATGTGTTGTCTCCCTCCTTTGGATACAAGTAGAGAGCTGGTAAAGGTGGACTATATTTTTATTTTAATCCATGCACTCAGGCATTTAAACCACATCCTGTTCTGCTTTTAGTGAGAAATCTCACAAGGTATTTGTCGATCTCTGAGGAGTAATCTCTGACTCTTAATCCAAATATTTTGTAAGGCAACACTCCAGAATAGTTGCTTGAGTCAAAGAAATATTTCATCTGTCTTTATTACTCTCTGGACAGCACTGGAGATAAAAGTGCAGGGAGCACAATCAGCATTTGCGGAAACTCACACTTGGATACTTTCCATGTTAAAGCTGGCTTTCCTAATGAGAATGGGGCACTGTCCTAGCTAAGCATCTGCTAGTGTGCCTAGCTGTCCTGGGACATTGCAGTGTTGGTTGTGACTGTACTGTTTTCCATCACTGTCACTGGCTGTATTCTGCTCATTTCCATAGCCTCTTTGTGGTTATATTTTCATACCTAATGCCCAAGAGGATTGTCCAGGATTATATATGTGGGACCTGCATTTTCCTAAGAGAGCTGCCGTAGGAATCCTTGACCTTTTGAACTGCGTATATGGTCTGCAAACATGCATAAGCCTTTTGTGGTTTTAAACAAAAGTCAAGGGTTATTTTAAAGGGGGCTTCGCTCTGCCTACAGTCCTAATAGACTGGATGATTGATTTTCGTTTTCTCACAGGTTGTCATGAGGTTACCCGTTGAGGAAAAAAACAATTTGGATTATTTCTATTTTCTGTGAATAATAGCAGGCTATAGAGGCCTGTTTCTGTTGAAACCCTGTCACCTCAGATGTGGCTTTATTTACATAGTAATTCTTTTAAAATCGTTTGTTTAAAATGTTATTTTCAAACCACAATTACATTTTTTTTAGACTGATAAAGTTAGGGGGTCAAATAACTACTTCTTAATCTGAGACTTATTACATTACTGCTTCTTATTCTTAATATATTTCTTTTTAACAAACATGTAGTTTACATACAACACCGGTTTGACAAATGTGTTTTGTCTCTGTCCCTGGTAGGAAGATCTGTGTGCACTGTAAGTGTCGTCGTGAGGAGCATGCAGTGACAGCCATGCCTGTAGAGATGGAGAAGACGGTCACCAAGCTGATGTACGACTTCCAGAGGAACTCGACCTCAGATGACGACTCTGGCTGCGCACTGGAGGAGTACGCCTGGGTGCCACCGGGCCTCAAACCTGAACAGGTATCAGCATGTTTTCGTTTACATTAAGCTAGGCTATGCCACATTCACTCTAGATGGGTCTTGACCAATATAGTGTATATTTACTATCTGGAAAAATTGTGGGTTTCAGCTATCAAATTTAACACATACATTCTATTAGGTTATATTGTAAACTTAATGAAAATACATCTGTTCTCTTAGACTTATATCACACCAAATAATAGCTCACCAGTTATGCTGGCTGCACCTTCCACAAGCTAATGGATAAAAAGGATTATGTGGCTCCAGCAGTCAAATTAATCTCTAATTCATTCTGCCTGTACAGATGTTTAGAACAGGTATTGCCCTCACGACTGCCTATTAAATGGCCCCGTGCCTGTTGAGGAAAACCCTCTATTACAACACTTTACTGGACCATAGGTGTGCACGTTTTGGTGGGGTTCCAGTTTTATAGGACCACAGAAGCATTTATGGAAGCTGGTTTCATTTTGTTTGAGCTGAGAGCAGTGAACTGGTCAATACATTGTTGGCACAGCCCCCAGTTTTCACCTCTGAGGACTGAGCACAGCTATTTTTCATCCCCCTCCAGGGTCGCTTGTCTAGCCCTGAAGTCAATTAGGTTCTAATCTCATGGTGATATGACCTCAGAAACAGCCAGGCCACAGTGGAAACTGGACTGTGTGGTGTTAACCTTGAAAAACAGGTGCTATTTTTGCCTTTTAACCAAAAACATGAGCAGATACAATCAACTCTGATGGAGGAATTCTGACATTTCAGAGCTTTTATAACATCTTACTTGAGATGTGTCCAGGACTGTAGCAATTTCTGTTTTCCCAACCTGGCATGGAAGTCATTCGGGCTGTGGAAATGTACTGTATGCCCTCTCATTGAGGACGAGATGTGTGTCTGATGTGGGACTTTTCACCACTTGGCCTTCCTCCACATAATGTAAAGACAGTGAGAATAGAGTTGCTAATCTGCAGGATCTAAACAATGGGTTTGGGTTTCCCCATAGGGAGCTGGTGTTGTGTACAAGTCTTCTGTTCAGCCAGCAATGGTGTATAGTCACCACAGTGTAACAAGAGATTTCAGCCTAGCACTGCAGTATTCAGTCAGATGTTGTATATTTGAGGGATAACTCAGCACGTAGTTGGGACTGTTCAGCTCTCCTCTGTGTGTTTGCGTTTCTGTCAACAGTCTCTGAAATAAAGACACAGTAAGAGAACATGAGTCTTTATCACCAAACACAAAGCCATTACTGTGTGTGTTGCAGATGTTATTGACGTGAAGCGTAAAGGAGGGCCTGCCAATATTCTCTCTCCCGCTGTGTCCTCTCCATCCTTCTCTAACAAAATTCTTGGATGTTGCCAAGTTGCAGTTTGTCAGGGCCAAGAATGTTACTCAGCAGTGGCCTGTAACTGGTGTTTTCCTCTTTTTTTTAAACCATCACGTTGCAGGAGCTGCAGTCTAATATGCAAACTCTGTTCTGCATCCACTGGGATATGATTTTAATTTGCAGTTGAACTATGCTTTTTCAGCAGAATACAAATTTAGTTCAAGGTTATTTATGCAAACTAGAGGTCTTTCTAGGCTCTGAAGTAGTTCCATAGCTTCGATGTGGATAAATTAACTTTCAGTAAAGGATCAGTAGTAAAAAGGACCTGAGGCTAGTCTGACCTGTTCAAAAATGGACATAAGGACAATTAGATCCCTACAATTTGAGTTCAAGGACTATCAAAACTGTCAGCCCCTGACCTGACCCCTTTACCCATGTAAAATGCAAGGAGACAGTAACCGAGGAAACATGCATTAACTGACATGAGACATCCTTTTCTCCGATTCTTCACGTAGCTTACAATCACTAGCCGATTTCTGATAAATGGGCGTGTCAATCTATAACATATTTCTGCAAAGGTTACACTCATGTATCTTCGATTATAGCTCCTCCAGGCAGCCTCCTCACTCCTTGCTTCTTCTCAGAAAATAAGATGTCCTTCATCATGGCAGACCAGAATGACTTCCAGGTCAAGCAAGGATTGAGGACAGAGGAATGATAAAATAAGGGAAATGGATTCACCTTGTTTCATGGTTCCCAGGAGCTGAGGCATGCTGGCTTTGGTGATCCCCTAACTTTTCCTCTAGTGCCACCAGGAGGTTGATTGATTCTAATGTGTTGCTGTTACTATGCCGACATGCCAAATTAAGATGACAGTTGTGAACATTATAAATAACACATCATTGTAATTGTACACTATATAGACAAAGGTTTTGAGAAACACCTAATTACTGAATTCAGGTGTTTCAATCAGACCTGTTGCCACAGGTGTGTAAAATCAAGCACCTAGCCATGCAGTCGCCATTCACAAACATTTGTGTAACAAAATGGGTCGTTCTGAAGAGCTCAGTGACTTCAGGCACGGTACTGTGATAGGATGCCACCTTTGCAATAAGACGGTTCATGAAATTTCATCCCTGCTGGATATTCCATGGTCAACTGTAAGTGGTATTACTTGAAAGTGGAGGTCTTTAGGAACAACAGCAACTCAACCACGAGGCGGAAGACCAAAAAGTCACCGAGCGGGGTCAGTGTCTGCTAAGGTGCATAGTGTGTAAAAGTTGTTTTGGACAATACTATGCTTCCTACTTTATGGAAACAGTTTGGGGAAGGCCCCTTTCTATTCCAGCATGACTGTGTTTCAGTGCACAGAGCCAGGTCAATAAAGACATGGTTGGATGAGTTAGGTGTGGAAGAACTTGACTGGCCCACACAGAGCCCTGACCTCAACCCCACTGAACCCCTATGGGATGAACTGGAATGGAGATTGTCAGCCAGGCCTTCTCGTCCGACATCAGTGCCTGGCCTCATAAATGAACATACAGAATGAATGGGTATAAATTCCCACAGAAACGGTCCAAAATTTAGTGGAAAGCCTTCCAAGAAAAGTGGAAGCCGTTATAGCTGCAATGGGAGACCGACTCCATATTAAAGTCTATGTATTTGAATGCAATGTCATTAAAGTCCCTGTTGGTGTAATGGTTGGGCGTCCCGATACTTTTGTCCATATAGTGTATGTCCACATTGAGCTGCAGGTTAACATTTACAAAGTTCTGCTGTTCCTAGTAACTTCACAGAGGCACTGACTGGGTTGTGGAGGGGTCAGAATGGCAGCCACATCTTAATACATTCAGTACACTTTATATGTTGCACTTAATAAAGTCGTCTCATGCCTTTTTAACTTTTAACGCAATCTCCCAGAAATGTGCTGACAGCAAAGCTGAGCCATTGGCCCCTGCTCATCTCAGCAAAGATGTGAGAAGAAAATGACAAGGAATGAAAACACAGCCATTAAGTCAACTCTTTCAGTACAAATAACCCCATCTTTCCCACCATGTTTGGCCATTCCTACCAGCATTTTCTCAACAATATAATATTTCTGTCCACTAACTACTATAAAGTGGTTTGCTGAGAGAATGTCAGGCCTGGTGCTGTCTTTTCCCCTGGCTCTCTGGCCATTAACAGCAATAGAAACCAGCTGTGTGAAGCGATCACTCTTGTCACTCATTTGCAAAGTCCTACTATTTGCTTTAGCTTTTAAAAACAATCCTGTCAGTATAGTTCCACATTCTGCCCTTAGTTTCGGCTGCTTTCAATTACAGTTATTAACACAAGCTGCTCCTCGTGGCTCTTGGTGCAATTGTGTGTCCATGTACTGTACAGTTTGTGTATACATCTTTAGATCTTTTCCTCAGGGCAGTGTGCCTTTCACCTCCAGATTGCAACCCTGTTGTTGTTGGATAATTTATCATGCAGTGTGTGTGTGTGTGTGTGTGTGTGTGTGCGCATCTGGAGTCATGTCACACATCACCACACACACACCCAGCATCCTGAGCTGTGCTGCTGGGCACAGATTTCACATCAACGATAGCAGGGCAGAAGGAATAAGGTTACACTTGCGACAAGAGGTTCTTGCTACAAATTCATCCCAGTAAGTGTTTATCAGGCTACTTTACACAATCTGCCCTTGATACAGAATGTGACGCATCAGGACAATCAAACGTCAAGATGTGAGAGTTTTTAAAGCGCTCATGTGTGTCCGTATTATTCAGGCTAATCTGTGTGTGGGTGTGACGGACTGTGTTGTTGCCAAGGACGGAGCTGATGACTTCTAGCCAGCAGATCCATTCAAGTAGACAGGTCATTAAGATTGGCGTGGCCTAGTCAGCAGATATTGATTGTGCTGTCTCTTTCTAAGTCCTTGTTTTGCTATGTTGTTTTCATTTCTTTCATTTGGTCAAAGAACTTGTTCCTTCTTATACTCTTTCTACATTCATCATTTTCATTCTCTCCATTTTCACTCCACTCCTCCTCCTCCTCTTCTCTCTTTGACCTCTGTCCTTGAGACTCCTTGTAAAGGCCCGTGGCTTTCATGGTTTGCTCTCCACCCCAACGCTCCCAGCCTCCTCCCAGTCACATTCGTATATGACTGCCTGACCTCTGTGATACCCCGGCCCCCTGTTACAGTGTAATTCCAAAGACTGCAATAAATACCAGGGAGACAACACTCATTGTCTGCTGCTGTAATGTGAAGAATGTGAATGGAATGGCCAGATTAGCATTAATCCTGCTGTTGAACACATTTATATACACTCATACAACTGCTACGTGTGTTCATTACTTGGTTGTGTGTGTGCAGTCAATAATACATTCCCATGTCGGTGTGCAGAGATGGAGAGGTGAGGTTTCATTAAGTTTCTGCTGGTGAGTCATAAATCACAGTAGTTTTAAGTAAGTGTGTGTGTGTGTTGGTTGTAGATTCTGCTAATTTTGTCTTTGTACAGTTGTACCTTTTAGGGCTGAAATGATTAACTGATGGTCAGCATTTTTAATAAGTTCATTGTCAGTATATTATCAAATAAAAATAAGCATTTGTAGGTTCCAGCTTCTCCAACTAATGGTTTGTATTTTTGTTCTTTCACATATCAATATCATTTGAATTCCTTTATGTTGTTTGACTGTTGCACATAGAAAATCAACTGGAACACGACACATTGAAGTATGGGAGCTTTTGATGTATTTTTTTCTTATTTTTGTGTTATTTCCTGGACAGAACTATAGCTTATCAAAAGTATTAATTGAGTGCCCACTCAGTAATGTGGTAACAACTGGCTGCAGCCCAATTTGGGGTTTGTCTGTCAGCTTACATGTTGCAGGTGTGTTTTTGTTCTTCATCTTTCTCATCATTTCTCTCTCTTCCTTAGGTCCATCAGTACTATAGCTCCCTGCCTGAGGACAAGGTACCCTATGTGAACAGCCCAGGAGAGCAATACCGCATCAAACAGCTGCTCCATCAGCTCCCCCCCCATGACAATGAGGTGAGAGTCCAAACTGGCTCCCCTCTCACCACCACCTCCATCCATATAAATAGTCCTCTCTCCCCTCCTTCAGGGCAGTGCAGAGATAAAAGGAGAAAGGGAGGAGACAGGCACAGGCAAAATACTCTGTCATTTAAATGGACATTCATTGCACTTAAAAATTCTGTGGTTTTATTTTGCAGGGAATCTTAAGGGTTGGTTCTTCTTTTACTCCGAATTCCTGCAGTACAAAGAGAGCTTAAGATATGTTCTTGAAATGGAAAACATTGGAAACAATAAGTTACAGATAGAATCATCACTTCTAACATGTTCTTCTTTTCCTGTAAAGCCACTAGGGAAACTCTATGGCTAAAATATTTCCAGTCATGACAGAAAGCACAAAGAGAAATATGCGTGTTGTGTTAGTTTTGGGAAATGCTAAGACCTCCCTTTTTTTTTTATAAAGACATTTTGATCTGTCGCAATGGAAAAAGTCCAGGTGTAACCTACATAATAAAATGAATGATGGCTGAAATCCTGATATTGTGCTTGCTGGCTCACTCTAACACCACCGAGATTTACTGGGACGCTTGAAGAGAATAGAGCTATAGTTATTTAAATTAGTAACTCCTGTGCTTTTTCTACAATGACGAGTCAAAATACCAAGGTTTGATGATGATATATAGATTAAAAACAATAGAATACAAATAACCACCTTCAGCTCTTTGTATCTGGTGAACAGATGTCAACAGATTTGTTGATGTGATGTGTGCATGTCTGTCTAGGTACGCTACTGTAACAGCCTAGATGATGAGGAGAAGCGAGAACTGAAGCTCTTCAGTAACCAGCGGAAACGAGAGAACCTTGGACGTGGCAATGTCCGCCCATTCCCCGTGACGATGACTGGAGCAATCTGTGAACAAGTAGGAGACAAAAATATCACAGACATAATTTTTTTACACTGTTTCCACACCCGGGAAGATGTATGACAAGCTCATTGAAAGAGTTTCACTTCTAAATGTCATTTCCACACCTCATCCAGTGACTAGGGTTGGGTACCGAAACCCGGTACCAATATGGCACCAGCTCCTATACAGTTGGTATCATCTGGACTAAATCACAATGCAGATTTCTATTTACCTCAGAGCTTAGAAGTCGGAGCTGGGAATGAAAGGCAATGTTTTTTAATGTTGTCAGCCTTCATTTTGCTTCTGCTTCTTTTTTTTAAGCATTGGTTCTGGGATCATTTAGGCACAAGCACTGTTTTAAGAGTATTGTTTAGCACCAGTATCAGAAAAAAACCCTACCTGTGACTTGAGTGAATTCAGATTGGTGAGATCAGAGGTGTATCATGTGGTCTGCAGAACGAAGGCAATCAATTGTGTGACAGACATACTGAAGAGTCTGCTGGCATTTCAGGCCCTTATTAGGATGTATGGGGTGCTTTATGTTGACATATAAAGGGCAGAAATGAAACAGTATGACCTTGTCAGTCTCCCCTCAAAGTCTCTCTTTTAAGGGGATCTTTAGGTGATATATGTGTGTGTACGTGTGTGTATTGTCTTATTCTTCTTCCTGCCATACTACCTTACATAATACCTCAGTTACAACTAGAAATCTTCTTAATTAAATTTCACTGTAGTACCAAGTGCACCATCACATATTTAGTGTTGCCTGCATGTCATCCTGTAGTGGCTTTGTGGGACCATAATGTGCAATGGAGAGTGTTCATTTAACAACAAACTAGTACAATTCAGTATTTGTTACTGAGTGTACAACAGTCTGAGGCAAAGTGGAGCTACTCACTGTTGTGTTGTGCCCCAGGTGTATCTATAAATGCTTCACAGCTTGTGTTTCTCATTCACTCAGCTGACACACATAAACATACAGATTGTTGGGATAGTATGCATTGATTGAATTCTCTGTTCCCTTTTGGATTCTTTGCAGTAGTAGGCTTTGTGTCAGTTAGATACTCTGATTGTCGCTAACTTCTCACACACATGAATGGAACAAAGTTCACAGATTTGACTCTTGGAGACTTAAATTGTTCACCTTAGTAGGTCAAACTGCATAATGCTAATCAGAGTGTGCGTAATGATCATTTTATACCATTTCTTTTGTAATGATTTGGAGGAGGGGCTCTTCACTGACCAGTGGATGTTACATGACCTGAGATTATGTTGCTCCTTAGCCACTGTCATAATAAAATAATGATAAGACATTGTGATAAACTTTCTAGAAATTGTGCAAGCCTTACAGAATGTTAATCTATGAACAATTCCAGTCATTGTTAAACAGTGAGGCACAGCAATTTATCACATCAAAGAAAGCTCCTGGTCAGTTCTACACTATAAGGTATACAGATTTTATATTGGATAAGAAAAAGAGAGCACTTGTATTGAACTGATACTCACTGGTCATCAGACCTATCCTGAGTTTAGGTATTGGGATTGGTATCAGAAGACAAAAAGTGGGATCTAAATGGTGACAAATACTAAAGGAACATGGCAGTGACCTGTTTCTTGAAAATGTGCTTCTTCCATCTCTTTTTAGTGCGGAGGCCAGATAAATGGCGGCGACATTGCTGTTTTTGCATCACGGGCGGGTCACGGCGTTTGTTGGCACCCTGCCTGCTTCATGTGCAGCATGTGCAACGAGCTCCTAGTGGACCTCATCTACTTCTACCAGGATGGAAAGATTTACTGTGGCCGGCACCATGCTGAAAGACTGAAGCCACGTTGCACCGCCTGTGATGAGGTAGATGCATCCACCTGTTGTCATCACCTTTACAGTGATAATCATGTGTTAATAGATACATATATCACCTACTTTAACATACTGTACCTGAGATATGGGGTGTCAGTACAGCTATTTGTAAAAGATGGACAAACACACATTTGCTTGCCTGCATTCATGCCAAACTGCTGTTATACTGTATGATGCTCACACACACTCACAGTTTAACACATGCAGGGGGTGTAAAAATGACTTACTCTCTCTGTAGATGAGGACAAGGACACTTTTAGTACCTTTAACAGCAGCATGATTAAAAGTAAATGCACCATATAGATTTCACCAAGCATTGCACATTAGCCTCCTACACAAGTCAGTGACAAAAAGGATTATTTAAGAGTACTGAGCAGCAGAGGAGAAAGGGGTGCGTATGGAGGGGGAGGGAGGGCGAGCCAAACCTTTGTCCTGTCACTCAGCGCTCAGTAATAACCCAACTGAGGACCTGTGATAAACGATACTTTACTTTATCCCTCTTTTCTTAGATTATCTTTGCGGATGAATGCACCGAGGCGGAGGGGCGTCACTGGCACATGAAGCACTTCTGCTGTTTCGAGTGCGAGACAATGCTGGGGGGCCAGCGTTATATCATGAAGGAGGGACGTCCCTATTGCTGCTCCTGCTTCGAGTCCCTCTATGCCGAGTACTGCGATTCCTGCGGCGAACATATTGGTATGCTTCACCACCTGGCAACCATCACTGTCAGTCACCTGCAGGCCATGCAAAAGAATCAGTATAATAATGCTAAATTTATGGATGCATGGAAACAAATGGAGAAGGTTATTGGGCTGCAGGATGTGTGAGTGACCAAATTTTTTCATAGCAACAGAATCAAAGATTGAGAAGAAAGGGTATGAATAATGTCAAGCTTGTTCAAGCATTTAAGACAGGGGCACGTAGCAGAGGGCCGCTAAGACCTCAACTTATAGAACACAGAAATATGTACAGTATATTGTGGCAGTGTGAAACCAACCCGGGGCAAGGACCATATCAAGAGGCTTTTAACCTCCAAAATATGTTAGAGACAATGACAGGTGTCACTTAAATACAAACACAGACTGAGTACTCTGAAGAAATGGGGGTATTTTTCAGTGGGAACCTCATAGCAGCACCTCATAGCCACATCCCTGTGGAGAACTCTGTGTGTGTGTGTGTGTGTGTGTGTGTGTGTGTGTGTCCTGACAGGATGCCCAGGTGTGATTTTGGCACATACCTCTCAACAAATTTACTCTGTAATTATTTGTCAGACAGGATTTTTTTTTAAAGCATTTGGTTAAAAAATACAACTGATAATAAATTGAGACCCCCAGAAAACATGCTCAAACCAGATGATAGCCATTAACAAATAGCTGGTTTTCTTTCCTCTTGTAACAACTGGACACGTATTCCCAGTGCATTGTGTTTATACAGTGCCAGCCAAGCTATGTAATGAGTTTACCCCAATGAGCAATTAAGTTACAGCATCTAGCTCCATTTTTTTCACTCAGCAAGCAACTTGTGACATGATGTAATTTTCTCATAGAACAGTATTATAATAAAGATGTTAAGAGTTTTAATTTCAAGCTCATGGAGCTTTGCAAGTTAATTGTACATTTGTACATGAACCCACAGTCTGTCATTTTACATAAACCCTGTGTATCCATGTGTTTCTTTTTCCTGCAGGCATTGATCAAGGCCAGATGACGTATGACGGACAGCACTGGCACGCCACTGAGGGTTGTTTCTGCTGTACCCGCTGTAAACGATCCCTGCTAGGTCGGCCTTTCCTGCCCAAGCAAGGCCAAATCTTCTGCTCACGCTCCTGCAGTCTCGGGGAAGAACCTAATGGTTCAGACTCATCTGATTCTGCCTTCCAAAGCGCTCGTTCCACCAGAGAGTCTAGACGCAGCTCCAAGAAAAGTGGAGGAGGTGGAGGTGGAGTGCAGGCAGAGAGATTTTCAGGTGAGGTGGACCCACTGTCTTTGCAAATGGATCTTCTGAGTCTTTCCAGCCAAACACCCAGTTTGAACCGTGAGCCATCTGCCTGGCAGAACAAGGAGCAGGCAGGTGATGCTTATAGTTATGACTCCCAGTCATACCTAACTGGCAACCCCACCCCTCTCCAGCTCCTCAGCCAGTGCAACGTCAGGACGGCTTATAACCCTAGACAGAACAATCAACAGCAAGATCACAGGATCAAGGAGAATGGAGGTTTGAAACGACCCACCATCTCAGCAATGAAGGGCCACTCTCTAAATGAGATGTGGTTCCAACAGCCAGCTCCAGAGGAGTACTGTCCACCCAAACTGAGGACCCAGAAGAGTTTCACTGAGGTGTCCAATTGCTCTCAACACCACAACAGCTTCTCCCCTGACAAGCGCTCGATCAGTCTGCATGGCTTTCAGAGGGACAGAGACAGAGATGGGGGACCTCCAGCAGCACCCCAGGTGGAAAGAAGCAGGAAGCCCATCAGTGCACTTAACTTTACTGAGCAACTGACCCCTCTAGAGCAGACCCCAAGAGCATCCATGGAATCCCTGGCTTTGCCCAATGCTACAGGTGGGTGTGACAGTAGTGTCAAACCTCTTGTTTGGTGTTATTGTGTATTTGGTACCAGATTTGAGTGTTGGCGTTGAATATTAAGATGTTTTCGCTAACTAGAATGGGATGACTTTATTTCCCTCTAGGAACCTCAGCAGATGGAGGAGGAAAGCGCCATGAGCACCTTTCTCGTTTCTCCATGCCAGACCTGAGCAAAGACTCTGGCATGAACATGCCAGAGAAAGGTAATATGGGCAATCTCAACTCCTCAGTGCAGTTTCGTAGCTCTGAGTCCATTCACAGCCTCACCACCGGTCAGCCCTACATGGAAATCGATCCCCCTAGGTCCTCCCAGTACAAGGTGCAGTATCGCGATGTCCCTGGCGTGGGTGGAGGTAAGGGCATGACACATTTACCTCCTGGCTTCACCTTCCAAGAGGAAGATAGGGTTAGTTTGGTGAGCAGCGCCAACGCAGCCCGTCTGCCACCCATCACTGAGCGCAGGGTGGATGGGATCGGGGGTAGACGAGGAGGTGGAAGGGGATCAAGTATCCATATAGATGCTCCAGAGGAAAGTCCACAGAGGCACCGGCATCACCACCACCGCTCCCGGAGATACCGACGTTCTCGTTCAGAAAATGCTCTCCACTTGGTGGCGGAGCAAAGGGCAAGACCTCAAGAAAGACCACAACTGTGTGTCCGAGAGGACTATGACCGTTTCACACCACCAAGGAGCATCAAAGACCAGTTTGGAGTAGGGGGGGGAAGAGGGGTAAAATACCGGCCCCAGCTCTTTCGACAGTGCCCCAGGACCACTTCAGACCTGACACTACAGAACCCCAGGGCTAGCCGCCGCACTGGCTTGAACCAGTACTCCTGGGATTATTATGATGATGATGATGATGACTGGTGCTCCACCTGCTCTTCATCCTCTGAATCAGAGGATGAAGGTTACTTTCTGGGTGAGCCGATCCCCAGACCCATCCAGCTGCGTTACCTGAGCAACCAGGAGCTTGTTCATAAGTACAACAACACAGGAATCGGAGGACCCAACCACAGCGGGCAGTTACACAACCGCAAACGTAGAAAAAGCAAGAACTGCATTATCTCCTAACATCCTGATATCTGGCACAGTAAACGATGCTCTGTCCAGCTCGTGTACACTAATGTCATCCATCTGGAAAAAAAACAAAAAAAAACAAACAGTCCATTTATTTCAGTGTTGCATATCACGCAATTGAAAGTCGGTGATGAATTACAGTCTGTAAACAGTGAAAAAACAGCAGTTTGCATGTTTGTTCATTTTGATATTTCAGAATATCTCCTGGGTGTTAAAGCTAATGGCTACAAATGCAGTTCTGTCAATTCACAACATTTATCAAAAGCTGATGTGCAGGTTGTTTTTATCATCAACTCCATGCAGCAAACAAGTGTGCAAGGTAGTCTATTTGGTACAGTTTAGCTTTTTCATGCAATGTGATTTAGATATAGGATATACCTTAAATATTGTATTCAGATCATAGTATGTACATAGATAAATGAAATAATAATTTCACTTAAGTTAAGGAAGCCAGTATGTAAATATGGTTGTAAATGAGGCCTCACATATTTTTATATTTTGTATGGATAGAATCATTTATGTATTAATATCTATAATGTAGAGATAGAAAGTGACAAAAACAACTTATGCATGTTTTATTTGGCTGACCTGGTCCTGCATTTGGAATAAAGGAGTATTTCACTGAGGTTTTGTTTTTTGATTGGTAATTTGTTTCCCTCCAGAGAATGGCAGCACATTTGTACCTAACAGTCATTGCCTCTTTCTGTTTAATGCATAAATGAAGGACAATGTGGTATGGAAGTTGATTAGAGAGTCACCCTCCATTGGAGTCTCGTTTAAACACAGAGCTCCATTGTCCTGGAAACAGATGCCACTGATGTTCTGGTTTATTGCATCAGCCTAAGTTGAAAACTGCTGACAAAGGTCTAGGGATATACTTGTTGAAACCTGGTGATGTTTGGTTGATGTTTGGTTTATAGCCATACTCGAGGGATAGCAGTGTGAGTCTGTGGATCCACCCTTTTGGTCCAGACATGAAGTACCGAGGAACTGCCATGACACTGGGTAGAGACATTCTAGTTCCCCTTAAAATAAATTGTAACAACCTTTTCAGTCCCCTGATGCCTTATTTAGCACCAGTCATCAAATACTAGCAAAACTAATGCCATTCCCAGTAACTTCAGCTGTACTTCAGCTGGGGGTGGCTGTGGCTCATGAGGTAGGGCAGTTGTCTCCTGACCAGCAAGTTGGTGGTTCGACTCTTGGTCTCCCCACATGCCTAAGTGTCCCTGAGCAAGACACTAAACCCCCGAATTGCTCCCGGGGGCTTGACTAGCGCCAGTGCAGGGCAGCCTGTCGTCATCGGTGAGTAAATGGTGTATGATCTCCTGTAAAGCGCTTTGGCCGGTGCAACACACTGTGAGAAAGCACTATATAAAATACAGTCCATTTACTTTTAGTGCTAAATGTTAGCATGCTAACACACTAATATAAGCTGTTTGAATATGGTAGACACTGTACCTGCTGGTTATTAGTATGACTGCATTTGCACTAAAAACATTTTGTGGTGTTGATATTGACATTTAGCTCAAAGACCCATTGCCCAGTTACGGTATCAGTTGGCCACTAGCATGGCTGCAGCCTTAGACTTGTTTGTTTGTGAGAGCCAAGTCAAATTCTAAACAAGTAAACCTCTTCTGTGTAACTATTGGCACATACACTATGACAGGTATAGTATGTGTTAAGCAGGGTCATGCCATAAATTGGATTGCCTCTGATGTCCATGTGGTCAGGGTTACTGCTACTAGTCCCATAATCCACACACACTACACTCACACCCATATGTTTGGAGATAGGTGTGTGAATGCCAATCTCTTGATTAGAGGCACTGAAGCGTTAATGCTGCTGACATGATTGGCACATTAGTGCATTTACTTCATCTAACCTCCGCTTTCAAGGCGTGTGCTCCAGTTTTTATGTTTACACTGGGTTAACTCCCAGACAGAGCGGAAAAGAGTCCTCATTTAGTTAGCCATGCTACTACAAAAGCAGCTGCATAAACACATGAGATACATTATGCGAGAGTGGTGCTAATGTCCTGGTCTGTAAATGAGGACTTTCAGGCTTTGGCTGCAGTCACATCAGCTGAGAATTTGTGTGTGTATTATTGCAATCACTGTCTCAGAGAGTAATGAGACACAATAAAAGGCACACAAGCCTCTGTCAGTTCATTAAGGTAGCTGTTATTGCCTTTGATACATGAGCTTCTCTTGCAGGTTCATCATTAATGTAGCCCATATCAGTTTATTTCTTTATTAGTCCCTTTCCAGATTTTTACTGCTCTGTGTGTGTGTGTGTGTGTGTGTGTGTGTGTATGAGAGAGAGAGAGAGAGAGAGATCCTGTTGTTTATACTTGTATCACTGTAGGGACCAGATACTGGATCACGTAGAGTGTAGAGTAAGTCTCCAGAAAATGAATGTAAGTCAATGTAAAAACCTGCTAAGTCACAAAAGCAAGGATGCGCATGTGGTGTCTCCATGTGGTTAATTAAAAGTGGATGGAGGCTGTATAGTGAGGAGTGCCACAGATTGCAGCCATATGCTTCTGGGGCTATGCCATATTCAAGGTAGCGAATGGTGGGGAGATGATCCTCAAGTGGTGCGGATGCCTCCAGTTGTGACGGTCGCATTGTCAGCCAATTTCTGCCTGCCAAAAAATTAGATACATGAGAAGGCAGGTACTTTCAGGATTAGCTCAGTGCACAAAGACTTTACAGTCCAAATTATTGTTGGGAAAAAGAGGTTTTATTGTTTATCTGTTTGGAGACCTTTACTTGAACATTTTCCCCAACATGGCCTTTTGGAGCAAAACATTCTACACATCTTGTTTGGGGCCAAAATTTATTTTACATGCATCAAGTGCAAAAGCCAAGTTCATAAAATAGCATAGCACTCTGGACATGTGACATTTTGGAATGAGATCAAATATCAGTGCCTTTCCTGCATGGCCCCCGACTCCTTTACTAGTTTGGCAGAACAAAAGGGTTTGATAATAGCAACTGTATTATCAGAAGTTGGCATAAAACTGTAGGGGATTTTTTATACCAAAAGAGGTCTGTTTAAAATTTAAAGATGTGTATTTTAACAACAGAAAATAACTACTGAGATTTCTAATGGAGATAAATAGCCAAAGCTCTGCCTAATCTAAGAATGTAGCACTTTTTATTTTCAGCTGGAAATGAAGTTTAGAAAAATGGGTAAATGTTTTTCAGAGATAATTCAGGATACAGGAAAACAAAACTTTTTTTTAAATTCAAGTCACTTTGCTAAAGGTCTCCAGATGACCACACTGTACTGCAGGGTGCTGTATTACAATTTTTTGAATTGCATTTACTGCATGCTGGTCTATTAAAGTCAGACAGAATCGCCAGTTTCTGAGGAACAGACAGCAGACATCATCCTTTCCTTAACTCTGAGGCATTTGTCTGTAAACATGCAAACCAGGTGATGACGTGAAAACAGATCATCTTTAAGGTCCAGTTAACCCCAGTTTGCTGGCATTACAATGGCCTGAAAAGGCAACAAAAATGAGAACCTTAGGGCAAAAAGATCATCTACCTACGTAATACTTACAAAGCTTAATTTTAATGTTGCATACGTCTAGATTGTGGATTTATTTTAATTTAGTATCATCTGACACTTCTGACAAAATAATCATACCTTACTACTTAATATTTTGAAGAACTGCATTCATTCATAAATCTTTTCATCCCAGTGTTGTATTTCCTAAGTGGGTTGCTTGTGTGTAGTACCTGTGTACTACACGTATGCTAGTGTGTGTCTGTGTGTGTGTGAAGTCCCAGATGCACAGCTGCCATGAGTTGAAGCCATTTTAGCTGTTTTAAGAAACTCAAAAGCCATAATTACCGGTCCTTAAGAGCAGAAAGGCTGCAAATTACAGCTGCGCTTTGAGCAAACTAAAATAGCCTGATTCAATTATTTACAAATGAAGAATGCCTACAGTGTGTTATCCCACACACACAACCAGCTTGCTTTTATGCAAGTATACATGCACTTTCTCCTACACACACCACTGTTGAATAGGAGACATGTGACGGGACTGACTGAAGCCTCCTCTCCTTTGGTCATCATGTGTGTTCAATTAGCCGGGCAAGAATGCACCAGAGCAATGTCAACAGATGCACCGCCTTGCATGAGTCAGACTGGGACAAGGATCATTATTTTTCAAGGTGAATAAATATTGGACATCTCAAGGTTCAATGTAACCATTTTCTAAGATTTCCCTTCTCTTATTTAACTGCATTGTGAGTCCCCATTTTTGACACTATATCTGGATACACTGAGGATATTTGATCTATATGCCCCACAATCCACATATAAGGTCATAAGGGCAGCAGGGGATATTTCCTCCCTGGTCACCTACTCACAGAATCCCCACTGTCCTGTCAGAGAGGTTCACTCCTCTCCTGATGTGGTAATAATGTGCAACAGTAACCCTGCTGTCCATCTGCTGCTACTTCTCCCCTCTTCTCTTCTTACAAACTGCAAACACAAAATGTACTCTATATAATTATCACAGCTCCTTGCTGTTTACATTCATGCACCTCCCAACTGTGTGCAGACAAATGATTTGAGTGAAAGATTAGACTTGGAGACCTTGACTATGCTAATCTTGAAATGCATGCTAACCAATAACCTTTGTCTTTCTATGGCCCTCAACTGTGACTTTGTATCAAACTCGACTTCACTTTTCAGACTAACCCCTGTATTAACACTATGAGTTTTGGATTGCAATTAAATATTGCAAATAAGATCTATGACACATTCTGCACCAATAATTAGAGCTCATAATACATCTCTATGGGGGCTCTCATTGGCCCTGATTGTCGTCTTTCAGCCACAGTGATAAAAAAAATAACAGTTCATTTCAAGTGTTTGCACAGTCTGACACCTGGCACAGTGAAATGTTGCCAGGTCTGGGTTAATCTGAGGCTCGAGGGGCACTTTGCCATAAGGCAGAATGGCATGCTGGGCACCTCGATACCATGTTGCCAGAAGGCTTTGCCTGGTTCATGATAGCAGCTTGCTCCACCCACTATTTCTTTCTTTGACTTATTAACAAGCTCAGGTCTGAGGAGGGGTCCTATCCTGAAATCACCACAGCAGAACTCAATGCAGGATACCATTCACATTTGTTTTAGTGTTGATTTCTCACTCCTTGCAGCTGTAGAAGATTACAGATACTGTATTTGAAGAAAATTATGAGTCATGTTTATGAAGACATAAGGTTTCTTAGCTATTTAGATGGGGGCAGCTGTGGCTCAGGAGGTAGAGTGGGTCATCTCCTAACCGGAAGATTAGTGGTTCAATTCCCAGCTTGTCCAGTTGAAGTGTCTTTGACCAAGACACTGAACCTCCAGTTACTCCCAGTGATGTCACCGCTTCATGAATTTGGGAGTGTGAATGGGCAGATAGTATGAAAGTGCTTTGAGTGTGCTAAATAAGAAGAGATAAATGGTGTCATACTTGTATAGCCCTTTTCTATGCATTACAGCACAGTCGAAGTGCTTTCACACTATTTGGCCATTCACCACCATTCGCACTCCCACATTCATGCAGAAAAAAGTTATTAAAGTAATAAGCATTAAGACTCTATGTCAGACC